GATACTACAGTGGGTAGGGCATTTGCCTTGCACATGGCCAACCCAGGTTCAATTCCTGGTATCCCATATGTCCCCCATGGACCATCAGGAATGATTCCCGAGTGCAGAGCCAGGAGTAACCCTTGAGCATCGTTGGGTGTGACCCCCCCCCCCCGTCACCAAAAGAAAAAAATAAAAATAAATAAAGATACCCCTCTCACACGATCACTTTATTTTGTATTTTTTATTTTTAGGTACTTGGCTCACATCCAGCATTACTTAGGGATTACTTTTGGCTCTCTACTCGGGAATTACTTCTGGCAATGGTCAGAGACCATACGGGATACCTAGGATCAAAACCAGGTCAGGGGCGTACAAAGCAAGTAAGTGTCTCACCTGCTGTACCATCACCCCGGTCCCATCATGGGGTTACTTTAGATGGAAGAAAAGAGGATACATTAGTGCTGGGCGTGTGACACATAATAGCTCAATACATTCAGTTTCATTTTTTCTCCACTTTTCTAGCTTCATGTTCAACCCAACACTCTTGTTCCAGCAAGATCAATTCCACAAGAATCCTGAATGCAAACAGCAGAATGTTTTTGTGTTTGCAGGATTATTCTCCCCAAAGCCAACCTGGAAACTTTGACTCCTCCTTCAAAAGGAAGCAGGATGGGCCAGAGCGATAGTTCAGCAGGTAGGGCGCTTGCCTTGCACACGGCCAACCTGGGTTCGATCCCTGGAACCCTGTATGGTCCCGAGCAACTCCAGGAGTGATTCCTGTGTGCAGAACTCCTGAGCACTGTGACACCTGCCCTGTTTGCCTTCTGGGCTCTCTGCTTCCACAACACCATGTCTATAACACAGTCAAAGAGTTTGTAACTCTAATTCATTCCCTTTCCTGTTGTAATCGTCTATGCTTTCACCGTTCTCTTAGGTTGTGACTGAGGCAAGGGTCAGAGGCCAAGTCTTATTTGTTTTTTTGAATGGCGGGGAAGGGGCTTGAGGGTCCCAGGAAGAGACCTCCTAACTTTGTAAAAAGATCTACTTTGGGGGTGGAGCCTTCCTCTGAGCACTTTGGTGCAAACAAGAGAAATGATGAGAAAGTTTTCAAAAGGGGGGAGTTTACTGAAATGATACAGAGAGAGTTGACAGGAAAGAGGGAGAGTTGGACATAGAAAATGGGTTGGCGTTGAGGAAGATCAAGCGGAAGGTGCTGCAAGGAGGTCTGCACCCCGGAAATAATCTGGATGGGGTGGGAGTGATAGATAGTACAGTAGAAGGGCATTTGCCTTGCATGCGGCCAGTCAGGTTCTATCCTGGCATCCCATATGGTCCTCTGAGCTCACCAAGAGTGATCCCTGAATACAGAGCCAGGAGTAACCCTGAGCTCTGCTGCATGTGCCTCTAAATAAAAAATAAATATCAAACTACTAAAAAAAGAAAGGAAGAAACAATCTGGCGTGGCTGGGTTAGGGTCAGTAACTATCCCCTTGCACCTCTGCTGGAGGACGTTGGAGTTGGACCCCTGCAATCTTCTCTGATCCTGTCCATAGGTCTTTGTCTTTCCATGAGGATTTGAAGCTGAGACTAACCGGGTCAAGTTCCTCTGTCCTGCTTCGAGTGGGTAAGGAGAAGAGCAGCTCCTTCCTGCTTCCTTCGTCCTTCCCCCACCTCATTCCTTCTGCAGAGGATGGGAGCATTGTGATCCTAAACTAAACTTTAGAATCCTCTACATTTCTCATTTTCCCCACATAGTCACTAATGCTCCAGGTTTGTCCCTGTTACTTAGTAAGATTTCATTGGTAAAAGCACAAAGTAAAGAAGAGATTGGAAAGTGGGCGTCTACTAGAATATTGACACTGGAAGAGACCTTTAAATTTATTAGTAGTGTTTTTTACCTCATGGTGTTATTTATGGATAGCATTTAAATAGTGCGCATCCAGACAGCTTACCCTTAGTTGGGGTTCAGTAGAACTGCAGTGGGATTTTTTTGGTAGTTTTTTTTTTTTAAATTGAGACTTTTTGGTTTACAATGATTTCTCACGCACATAATTCCAACACCATGTCCATCACCAGTTTAGCCTCTTACTGTTCAAAAACCTCAAGGTCCTTCCCTTCCAATGTCCCCACGCCCCAGCTCAATTATGTGGATCAGTTCTCCCATTATGTTGCCTTTGGACCTTTGTTGTTACCTTACTATGTATCCTTTAAGTCCCATAAATCATTCTGCACTTATCCCTTTCCTTCTGACTTTACTCAGCTTGATGTCCTCTAGTTCCATCCAACTTGTTGCAAATTGCATGATTTTGTTCTTTCTTAAAACAGAATGCATAGTATTCCACAATTTCTTGATTCATTTGTCTTTAGTTGGACGTTTGGGTAAGTAATCTCCACATACTGGCTATTATACTAAGTGACTTAGTGCTGTGATGGATGTAGGTGTGCATATATCCTTTTGAGTTAATGTTTTTGTGTTTGGGGATACATGCCAGGAAGGTATCACTACATCATAAGGTAGTCCTATTCTTATTTTTTGAGAGATCTCCATATTGCTTTTCATAAAGGCTGAACCAGATGACATTCCCATGAGGTGGGATTTTGGCCTGTATGTGATGGCCTACGACTGCATCTGTGTGTGTGTGTGTGTGTGTGTGTGTGTGTGTGTCTTTCTGTGAGGCATGTCACAGGTTGAAAATGCTGCATTTCATTGCCTTTGACTTAATGATGAAGAAGGGGATGAAAAGTAGTATAGGGGTTAGGCACTTGCCTTGCATGCAAATAACCAGGGTTTCATCCTTTGGTATTGCATATGGTCCCCTAAGCACTGCCAAGAGTGACCCTTGAGCACAGATCCAGGAGTAGCTTAAGCACCGTTGGCGTGGTCCAACCTTCCTTCCCCCTCAACGAGAAAACCAATGCCCAGAGAGAAGCTACCAACTTGGAATCACATGGCAGATTAATGAAAGGGGGGAAGGGGCAATGACCAATCACAGATTTCTTGTCTTTTGGTCAAGTTTTCTCATAATAGAAAATTTGTTTTTATCCAAGAAAGCATGCTACATTTATGTAGGTTCATTCCTCCCACACTAAACAGACTTCAAACCAAGATCGCCAACATTTCAAGGGTGAACAGCAAAAATCAGCTCCTTTTCTCCTGCTCTTCTTTCTCTTTCTTCCCATACTCTTCCTCCCACCTTGGATTTATTTACCACCAGCACAGGCGCTAATTTCTTTTCCAGGCAATTCCAGGATTGGTGAAAATTCCAGGGCCTTTGCTGCCTTTCATTACATTATATTTATACTTTACACTTCGTAGACAACACGAATTCCTTCCTATATAGATTTTTCCAACAGGAAATGCCATTTAATGCTTTCCTGTCTCAAATCCATCTCCGTACAGAAAAGCAAAGGATGGGAGAATAGCTATAATTAAGCCATCTATCAAAGGTGAGAAGTTTGCCTCTTCCCACCCACACACACACTAGGTACCCCATTCCTGGGCTGGCACACGACCCCCTCCCGCATGCAGTGGTGAGAGGGTTTGAACTCCCAGTCTCACATTTTTTTTTCTTTTTGGGTCACACCCGGCGATGCTCAGGGGTTACTCCTGGCTTTGCACTCGGGAATCAACTCCTGGCGGTGCTGGGGGGACCATATGGGATGCTGGGAATCGAATCCGGGTCGGCTGCGTGCAAGGCAAACGCCCTACCCCCTGTGCTATTGCTCCAGCCCCATCTCACAATTTCTTAACCCAACAAGTGCTTTTTTCTGATCCCTCCCCCTCACCACCAGGTAAGAGACTTTTTCCCAGAGCCTCTTCATCCAGGAAGTGAGAAGGTATCAATCAAAGCTGGAGCAACTAAACCTTGGGATGCCATGGCCAGAACGGTCCTTTAGGAAGCTACTTGAACAGCTGTGGGGGCACCGTGGGAGGGAGACAGTCTTTCCAAATCACTGCGCTCACCCAGCTCAGAGATGATGCGCTGGATGGCTGGATGCGGCGGCCTTGGGGGTGGCATATGGAGGAGACCCGCGAGAACAGAGCCCTGGTGGTGGGGACAGGAAGTAGCAGGAGGTGTGGGGCAGTGATCACATCTGGAATTTGAGGAACTGGGAGGATCAGATTTTTCCGTGGATGAGGGAAATGAGAAGAAGAGCTGGTCTCAAAGGAGGGTGGAAAACAGTGACTTCAGTTTTGTTCCTGCGGAATGCAGATATTTACATCGGGCAGCTGAATAAGCAGGGCTGGGAGGTCTGGGCTGTAAATATCACTTGGGGAGTTTCAGCTGGGGTGGGGGTAGCTTGGGGGAGCAGGCCAAGTAAGAAGGGCTTAGAGGAGCACTCACAAGCCCTCGACAAAGGGTCGGGGTAGGGCTCTAGGAAGAGGCCGAAGAGCCCAGAGAATGAAACAAACAAGCAAGCAAGCAAGCAAGCAAACAACAACAACAACAACAAAACCCAGGAAAAAACGATTTGGCCAGCGAAGAGAGGAGAGTTTCAGGAAGGGATGTGGAGTGGGAGGATATGGAGATGAGATGATAATGGAGGAGAAGCTGTTATTTTTGGCAGTAGTTGCTGGTCACAGCGAGCCAAGCCTCGCTCTCCAGAATGCAAGCACTCGGGTCTGGGTCTGGATCATTCATTCGCACGCCCACCTCCCTGCCAACCTCCCCCGACCCCGACCCCCCGTCACGTCAACCTCAGCGGTCGGGGATATCTGCCAGAGTGCTAACTGCGTCGCGAAGTTCAGAATCGCGCAGCAGTTCCAAACGAATCGCCCCCGCTCCCCACCCGGTTTGCTTCGACGAGGGGAACTGCAGAGAGCGGCGGCGGCGGCCCACGACCAGCCCCCTCCGAAGGCCGCGTTCCATAGTAATGAGGCGTCCCTCCCCGCCAATCAGCGGCGGGCAGAGCGCGGGCCGGGGCGCGCGCGGCCCCGCCCCCTCATGCATATGCAGCGCGGCGCCCCGCCCCCGCCCTCCCGCCGCCCCCGCCCCTCGGTTGGCACGGGAAGCAAGATGGCGGCGGCGGGCCCGAGTACGCGCGGCTGTGCGGCGGCGGCGGCGCTGGGGCGGCGGCGCCGGCGCGGCCGCTGGGACGAGGCGGCGGCGGCCCCGAGCGGGGCGTCGCCGCGGCCCGAGGAGCCGGGCTGCGCCGGCTGCCGCGGGAGCCCGCGGGGCGCGGCGGCCCTGCCGTGCGGCCACTCGCTGTGCCGGGGCTGCGCCCAGCGCGCCGCCGCCGCCGCCGCCGCGGGCCCGGGCTGCCCGCGCTGCCGCCGTCGGGCCCGCCGCGACGGCCAGGCCGAGGCGCGGGCCGAGCGCGCCGCCGCCGCCGCCGCCGCCGCGGGGCCCGGGCCGGAGCAGGAGCCGCGCGCCGCGCCCGCCGAGCCAGGTGCGGCGTCCCCCGTCCCCGCGGGGGCCCGGCGGGGGGAGGCGGGGCCCGGGGCCGCCCGCGCCTTACGTAAGTCCGAAGTTTGCAGGCGGCGTGGCAGTCCCCGGACAAGTTGGGGGCGCGCGGGGCTGGGCCGGGGAGGGGGGCGCGCGCGGCCCGGGTGGATTTCGAGGTCTGTTTTGCAAGGAAGGGGGCGGTTGCGGGGCCGGGGGGTGGTTAGCGGGGAGCATCGGAGGAAGGGCTCGGCTTTCGGGTATTTTGGGGGTTAGAAGTGGGGCGGAGCGGCGGGGGGGGTGGTCGCGGGGCCGGGCGAGCTCTCCGGGGGGCGGGGGGCTGCACCCGGGCTGGGCTGGGCCGGGCCGGGCGGGGCGGGGCGGGGCGGGGCGGGACGGGCTGGAGTGGGGTGCGGAGCGAGCGAGCGAGGAGAGTGGGTGGGGAGGAGCTCACGTGTCGGTTGGTGCCGAAATCGTGGAAAATACCTGCTGAGCGCCGAGCCCGGTCCCTGGCGGGGAAGCAGCCCGTGCCAGGTGTTTGCCCCGAGCGCGTTGCGGGTCGTGCACTCCTGTAGCGCCCGACAGCGACGAGTGGAAGAGCAAAGGCAAAACCAACCAAACAAACAAGGCCACCCCTGGACGGGGTCTGAAAGTTGCGGACGGGCGGGAGTGGGAGTGGGAGTGGGAGGTGGGGGCTGCGGCCCGCTCCGCTGCTTTCTCCTCGCGGCAATTAAAAGTCTCTTGCAGAACCGTTGCCTTCAACTTCTTTGCTTCGCTCCCCTCCTGCAGCCTGGCCTCGCCTCGCCACCCTGCTGGTGGGCTTTGACAGAGGACCTGGCCCGTGGGGGGGTGGGTGGGTGGGGACACAAAACAAAACTGACCTCTAATGGGTGGGTGTGTGGGGGGGAATGCACTTGATAAGGGGCTGTCACTCCAGGGACAGCTCCGGGGAGAAAAGTGCTGACCCAAGAGGAGATTTCCAAGAAGTGACCTGGGAGGGCTGTCTGTGTGCGCCCTGGTTCTTGCCTGTCGCTCGGGAAGACGGGGCATTGACTGTGTCTGGGTTTGGATTCTGCAGACCCTGCTACTTCTAAGGAACTGTCTGTGCCTCCGCGTCGTGCTCACCGAGAATCTTATTCTTTCCCCCCCTTTGTCTCTTGTCTTCCTCTCTTTGGTTTTGGGGCCACACCCGGCGGTGCTCAGGGCTTACTCCTGGCAGTGCCCTCACTCCTGGTGGGCTTGGGGGAACCATATGGGCTACAGGGATTGAACCCGGGTCAGCGGCGTGCAAGGCAAGTGCCCTACCATGGCCTCGGCCCCGTTTACAGCATTCTTACAGATAGGGGCTGTCATTGGGGGGAACGGGGCGCCTCCCTGGAGGTGCTCTGGGGGTGCCCTGCGGTACCCAGCCGGCCCGCTAGGCGGCAGGCGACACTGGGGCGGCCGCGGGTGCCCGGGATCAAACCCCAAGGCGCTAAGCGCGTGCCTTGACCCCCTATATTTGCCTGGTACTAATTTGTTTAGATTGGCGCGGGGTCACGCCTGGCTGTGTTGAGGGATCCTGGCAGTGCTCAGGGGACCCTAGACGGGGTCCGGAATCTAAGCAGGCTTGGTTCGTGCAAGGCAAGCGCTTTCACCGCTGTACTCTCTCACCTGCCCGCCCTCCTGCTTGGCTTAATGACTTGTGTGAGCTCTTTCCTTAAGGAAGTTTGATATGAAGTGTGCGTGTGTGTGTGTGTGTGTGTGTGTGAGAGAGAGAGAGAGAAGAGAGATTGGGGTCAGGGAGAGACAACCCCCCCTGCGGTGGACGGCTTGACTGGCAGGTGCAAGGCCCTGAGCTTGGTCCTCCGAACTGATCTACCCAGCACGCCCCCCCCCAGCCCCCCTAGCACCACCCCCTGTGGCCCAAGTGGCTGGCGAGCCGCCCCAGCAGAACTGAGCTCCACTAGGGCTTTGCCCCTGAATTGAGTAGTATCTGTGACTAAGGAAAATGACATGAAATGAGATTCCAAATTAGCGTCCGCCACGTCACCAGATACATTTTAGTTTGTAAAATGAGGACCACAAGGAAAGTTATTTCCTCTGAAACGTACTTGTGGAATCTTGCTTAAATCAAAGATTTATAGAGTTTGGGAATTATCTTCTGGCTTCGGCAGGTGTCTGAGCTCATTCTTTGAAGTGGTATATTGTATTTTTTGTTTAAAATGGTAATGGGCAGTGTGCTCATATGATTCCGACAAAAATGTCAGAAAGTGTGCAGCGAAAAGTTCCCCCTAGTTCTTTTCGTATTTCTTACTCCCATCAAAGTTTTTTTTTTTATGCTTATACACGAACATTTGAGTATTTTATTTTTGATCTTACACAGAAGGTTGGTTATTCTACACTGCTCTGTACCTTGTTTTATATAACAATTACATGCAAGAAGTCTTTTCTTATCCTTACATAGATTTCACTACTTATAGTTGCAATAAATTTCATTGAATGTATATAGACTAATTAACCATATATTATTGGATAGTAAAATTATTTACAGTTTGGAGCTATTATAAATGATTGCTTATAAAATCATTAAGTGCCATATGTGTGTATATATATCATTATATACTATTTTAATGGAGAAGTGACTTGTAGATTTCACCAGACTCTCAAAGAGTTGCAAAAAAAGAGGAGGCTGAGAGATAGTACAGCAGAGAGCTTGCCCGAACATGGCCGACCCTGGTTCAATCTCTAGCACCCCATACGGTCCCCCAAGCACTGCCAGGAGTGATTCCCGAATGCTGAGCCAGGATAATCCCTGAGCACTACTGGGTGCCGCCCCAAAACAAAAACAACAAGAACAAAAAATATTAATCACTGTTTTAATCTACATCACTCATTGTACAGGAGAGAAGCAGAACAGAGACCAGGAGCCAGAGACAGACTGCAGTGGGTAGGGCACTTGCTCTGGAATCAGCCCACCTGGATTTGATCCCCAGCACCATACTGGTTTCCCTGTCTCTGCTAGGAGTGATCCCTGAGCACAGGGCCAGGAGTAAGCTCTATTTGGGGGTTGGGTGGCCCCCAAGTAAAACAGAAGGGAGAGGTCAGCTAGAGTTTATGTGTTACTAGCAGATAAGTGGGATGAAAGGATAACCCATTAAGAAAGGCTAAAACATCTAAAACATCGCCTTATTCACTCTTTTTTTGTTTTGCTTTTTGGGTCACACCCAGCGATGCACAGGGGTTACTCCTGGCTCTGCACTCAAGAATTATTCCTGGCAGTGCTCAGGGGACCATATCGGATGCTGGGAATCGAAACTGGGTTGGCCGCGTGCAAAGCAAATGCATTACCCACTGTGCTATTGCTCCAGCCCCAGCCTTATTCACTCTTAAGAGTACATGATGGCTTTTAGTAAAAAACTAGAACAGTTTTATATACATTTACTTGTGCTCTTTCAAATGAAACATTAGAATTTGTAATTTTAGCTGTGTTCGTAAATGCCTTGCTTAATGTTCCTTTAACAGAATTCCATGGATAAATTAGATTTGTTTTACAATACCAGAGATAAAATTTTGTAGTAAATACGATGGAGTTTAAATGAACTTATTGCAATTAAAACTTTTTAAAAAGTTTATTCAAATTTCATTACTATTCAAGAATTAAATAACCTAGGAAAGGAAAACCACAGGAGTTTGTTAAAGGTTTTGGTCATACTCTTGGCATTTTTGTTCTTTACCAACTGTTGGCAAGCTTTAAAACATTTAGACATTTAGGGGCTGGAGAGATAGCACAGCGGGTAGGGCATTTGCCTTGCATGCGGCCAATCTGGGTTTGATTCCCAGCATCCCATGTGGTCCCTTGAGCACCGCCAGGAGTAACTCCTGAGTGCAGAGCCAGGACTAAACCCCTGTGCATCGCTGGGTGTGACCCAGAAAAGCAAAAAATAAAAAAGAATTTAGAACTTTATTGAATGTGTGAAATACTTGAATTTTCTCTGCATTGTCAATTTACTTGTGGATACGTCATTAGTTGTTCTTGTTTAAGAAGTCATTTTGTGTAAAGGCTAAGTCTGTTATCTTTTCATGATGAACTCAGATTTCAGCTTTATGTTCTTTGAGGATCTGTGGTTCATTGTGTATGTGTTCCTTATTACACGTGTACATCTCCAACAGGATTTAGCAAGTAGGTAATGAGAGTCCACTCTGTATATTCCTCTGTGCTGGGTCCTTGGAGACATAAACGAAATATTCAAAGGTATTGCTTCTTTAAGCTTAAAAATCTGGATACCATATTAGACCTGCTGATTGTATGGTATTTTAAATGTAAAGAAATTCCTCATTCATTGATTTTGAAAAATATTTTTACCATGTGGATGTAAGAAGTTATATTTACAACTAAGCAGCTAAGTCTCAGATTAACTGATGAATATTAGTTCATTTAGTTCATTCTTTAGAAAAGAGAACGTAGTTTTTAGAAAAGAGAATCATCATTCTAAACTATACTGCCTTTAAACTTGAAACCAAGATCATTTTAGAATACTTCTTTTCTAAAGAAATGTGAGAAGAGGGTGATGTGATTATAAGTTGGCAATCAAAACACTTTGTAGTGTTAAAAATATATTTCAAAATTGAATAGATAGGACTCAGTGTAGAGTACATACTTCACATGTGTGACATCCTGGGTTTGATCCTTGGCACTGAAAAGAAAATAAGGAAAAAATATTGAAGTCTCATCATCTCAACTTCCCTGTTCAGTTAAGATTGACACATAGATTTAAAAAATTTCCTCTTTCCATGAAAAGCAAGTGGTTCTGGTTTATTACGCAGCTGGCAGACAATGCTTGCTACGTGTGTGCATCCTGAATTGCAATTAGGGCCGATAAATAATGAAGCCATGTGATCTTAGTATGAAGGGATAGGAATTCCCCTCCTTAGAATTTGTTTCAAAATGTCTAAAATGACTCAACCTTTTATCTTGAGTGACACATATTCCAGAACTTGAGAGTGTTATACAGGAACTGCTGTGTT